CATTGAACAGTGGGTTCAGGTGGAAATGAGAGATAAAGAAGTAGAGACGACAAATCTGTCTTCCAGAAATTTGGCTGTGAATAGAGAAGAATAAGCTAAAGCTGGAGTGAAAGAAAGGACATGAGATGACAGTTTTTTGTATGTGTGGACTGGGGGAGGATGAAGGAAATTAGAGCATGGACTACTACTACAGGAAGGAGCCAGAAAGGAGGGAGGAAGAGAAAGAACATATGATGGAGCAATATCTCTATGAAGACCCAGAAGGATGAGCTTAGGCAGACAGAATTTAGCCTTAGAGGTAGAAGCACATTTTGCCAGGAGGAAAGTATGGTTATCACATAGGTGAGTTTGCAGGTGATAAGGTAAAAATTAAGGGAGTGCCTGCCTGATGTCTTCTATTTTTTTTCTGTGGTATTCTTTCATGGTCATCTACTAAGGGTGAAGAGGGAAGTAGCAGGCTAGGAGATCTGAGAAAATGGGAGAAACACTGAGGTATCAACTGTAGAACAAGATCGCTTACTAGGGAAACAGGGTCACAGGCAGCTTTGAGGGTCCAGCTGAGATTAGAGACTTCATTTATTCTGGCAGCAATTAGAGCACTTGAGTGACTTCCTGTAATAACATTTCAGTATTCTGTTGTAGGAATGGAGATGGCAGATACCTGCTTGATCCAGGATTGGGGTTTTGCTCTGTGAGATGAAAGGATGAAGAACTTTGGCAAAAGTGATCGGAGTAATGGTCCATGGAGTCTAGACTGCCTAGGCATTGAAGTGGAGGTAGGGTTGATAACTGGGAGAATATAGAAGGAGCAAAGACCTGAAGGTCACTGAAAGTTCTCTGAATTTGAGATTTCAAGAGTGGAGCAGTTGGGAAGACAAGTTCAGGGTTTGGTAGCAGGCCTGTTCAGGGGCAAAGGTCACTTCAGATGAGATGGTCAAAGAACTGAGAATCTAGCATTCTTTGGGTGTTTTCATGGACAATGAAGTCTTTAGGACTGAGGAGGGAGAGGAAGACTGAGCCAATGAATGGTAGAGTTTAAGTTACGGAACAAGAAAGCATATAGGGTGATATTGCCACATATCTTCAAGGGGAAAAGGGCATTTGCATGATAGTGAAGGAGTAATAGTTTGGAAATGGTTTTGAAGAAAAGAAGAGGACATGGATACCAGGGTACGTGGGATATGAGGGAATGAGCAACGTGTGAGGGAAAGCTGCAAGAATAGTATTTTTCAGCAAACCCAGATTTCAGTTAAGCCGGGGTGTGTGGGGGGAGGACTCAGTGCTGGATTGAGAAAGGGAGAGGTTTTGATTATGGGAAATGATTAGGTTCCAGGTAGCCATGATTCGGGGGGAAACGTGTCAGTTGGCTCTGCATGAGTAGCTGTGAGCTCTGCATTTATACTGAAGATGAAATCGGGGCTCATTCCTACAAAGGTGCATGAGTCCTAGTACTTTAGTCAGAGTAAGTTGTATACCTACAATGCCCCAGGCACCATGTTCAGGGTACAAAGGTGAATAATGTGTGCCTGGTCTCTGCCCTCAGGAACTCAGAATCTAGTGAAATAAACGGCCACAGAAACCTAGGTCCAGGGCGATGACTAGTGCAATAATTTGAGAGCTCTGCACAAGGGCACCTAGCCCAGCCCAGGAAACGGGGGTGGGAGTTCAGAGAAAGCTTTTTGGACATGATGATTGAAAATGGATTAAGTCAGGTAAAAGGAGCAAAGTGGGAATGGACATCGAGGCAAAGGCATAGAATAGCTAATAAAACAAGGTCTAAGCATGGTGAATGAGAAATAGCTCTCATTGCTGGGCTTCTCACTTCACGGAAAGCAGTGATGAGAACAAGGTAAGGTCCTATCTCGGAAGGCTTTGTAGGCCTTGTTTTGAAACCCATTGAAGGCTTTCAGGGAAGTGAGTGAAAAAGATAAGCACGTAGGTGCATGCTAGCAGGGTGGAGGTAGATTTTAGGGGTCCACTTGCTAAAGGCTGGCTTCCCTATTAGCAAGGAAGATGGGGCAGGTCCTAAAAAAGATTAAGTAATAGCTTTCCATACCTTCTAGAAGAAGGTGGGGGCAGAATTCTCCTCTTTGGGCTGCATTTAGCCCCTTATTTTTGCTCTTTCTTCACAGAGCCCAGCACCTTCATGCTTCCACCTTTTAGCTATTCAGAGCCTCCTGTTTGGTATTTGTGCCCTAGTGTGGTCACTTAACAGCTATGAATTTAATTAAATCAGTTACCCTGATCTTCAGTTTTTGAACTTGTAAATGTCTGTCTTAGAAATTTGAATAATGAATTCACATTTATGTGTGAATGTCTGAGAGCTTCCTCTCACATTGTTTTTGTTTCACATGTCTTGTGGGTAGTGTTTAATGTTTTTTTAAACCATATTCCTTTTTCATATTAGTAATATGCATCCATTGTTGAAAATTTGAAAAAAATAGAGGAGCAAATGGAAGAAAATAAAAACCATCCATAATTACATCACTCAGATAATTACTGCTAACATATTGTTGTGTAGACTTTTGAATTAGTGTGTGTGTGTATGTATGCATACTTTTTGAAACAGAAATTCTCCCCCCATTTTATGAAAACATGACATTATCTACATCAGAGGAAACTGGTCTGGCGGAATCAATACCCAGAACTTCCACATTCCAATCAAATGTATGTATAAGACCTATTTTTTTTCTACTTTTTGCTGAATTTTATACTGATAACTAGATTTAATGCAGTAATTTGGCTGCCTTTGACCCAAAAAGGGCCTTTGCAGGCTTCCTCTGAGAATTTTGGCCTTATGCCTATGTGTAGGTATATTACAAAGGAACTTACATATTTTATAAACCTTGACAACAGTTTTCCATTAAGGAGTGTTCTGGGCTCACTCAGTTGTTGAACATCTACTGGTAATAAAAATGTCCCTGTATGGTTTATAGCAGTATCACAGAGGTTCCTTAAGGGAGGGACTGGGCCTTCACTAAAGGTACTCCAAACTCCCATGTACAATGCTGAAATCCTAGATGTTAAGCATTTTATCAGTTGGTTGATTGCATTCATGCTTCCTCCCCCTTCTACACCTAATACCAGGATGATTGAATTGCTTTCCTGCGTGGGCATAGAGCTAAAATTTATTTTAAGGGATTTCTCTGTCTTCCCCACACCCCAACATTGCCATTTTAATGGTCAATCAACTTTTAGTGTCAATCTACCATGTGCCTATGTACCAGGCGCTGTTTGAAATCTTTGGGATACAAAATAGGTAAATCAAGGTTCCTAGCTCAAAGATATCACAGAGTATAAGTTAAAGAAAGAGTTGCTGTAGATTTACATAAGTTTACCTGTTAAAAAATTGAGACTGTGAAACATCAAGTAACAGTTTTATTTGAAACATGAAAATTTTCCATTGAACTGTCATTTTAAAATGTGCAGTAAATACAGAAATAAAACTTCTGCATTTACCTTTGTCATAAAATGATTATATTTTAAGTTGTCTTTCTAAACACCTACAAGTTTTAATGGCTGTCATTTATTGTACTTTACGTGCCAGACACTGCTAATCCCTTTTCATTCATTATCTTAATTTTCTCAGCCCACGAGAAACTCATTGATTTCTCCTGATTTCATGCAGGAGAAACTCAGGTTCCAATTAAGTAATGTGTGCAAAATCAGAGAAAGACCAAGCAGTGCAGGCTTTCAAAGCCAGGCATGATTTCAACGGATTTTTAAAAATTATTCCCAATTCTTTGGATCACTAGTTCTTCAGAGTTTAGTGACATTGTCATAGATCATTCTATGGATGATCATGGACCACTTTCCTCAACTCCTCGAGTTAGTATATTGCCCCAATTATGCAAGATTTAGAGCCCTGTATTTTTAATTAAAAATTTTTTTACGTTTTACTTAGAGTGCAAACAGGGGCAGAAAGAGAAGGAGGTAGAGGATCCAAAGCAGGCTCTGCACTGACAGCAGTGAGCCCGACCTGGGGCTCGAACTCACGAACCCCCAGATCATCACCTGAGCCTAGGTCCCAGGCTCAACTGCCTGGGCCACGCAGGTGCCCATAGAGCCCT